CGGCCTTTTTCACTGGGCTTTTTAGCGCATTAAGTTCGTTTTTTGCGTTCTCGAATTTCCGGAATCGAGTAGATGTTTTGATGTAGGGCAGAAGTGAGCGGGCTCCTCTTCTTTTCCTCGTTTTCTCCCAACCAACGCTCATTTTTTAATAGCGTGTTTTGCAGGCCTCCAAATAGCCCATTTCCGGCCGTAAAACTCCAAATTACGCATTATTTTCACTTTGGACCACCGGAGTAGCTTTTCATTTCTTCAAAATACAAACTACTACACCAACTTCAAATTTCAGTTGAAAGTCGGATGCATTTTTAAATTTTTGATATTAGCAAATTTCTAATTTATTAAATTTGTACATTTTCATAGCAAAACCTCAAACTGCCATGCATGTGGTCCATATCCGCGCCAGAAAAAAGAAAAGAGAATCACTGACCTCTCAATAATTCATTCGGACCAGAAAAAAAGCGGACACCCTACCTGGGGGCCACTGGCAGTCTCGTCATCGTTTATCTATAAATGGCTTTTCTTACGATTATTTTGGCTTGACCTGCATATTGTTACACAATTTTCGTATTTTGTCAAGCATTTTTTCATAATACTGTAACCTGACAGTAATCTTATAGATTTCATCGAAATTAAGGATTTTCAGGCCCTTAATAATCAGTGACGCTCGCTTGGGGCCAAAATGAAGGGTGGGTTTTGGTTTTTCCGACGTGCTGCCATCCAATTTGCATATTTTTGCTCCGATTTTTGCATATTAATATGCTGATTGACTAGCTATCTAAATTATCGAAAATCCGATTTATTCCTGCACTTTGCAACTGAATTCAAATCAGTGACCCTCCTCCCACTTGGCCAAGTTGACGTATGGTTTTTGTTTGCCTTCATTTCAATACCCCTCCCTGCGGGCATATATTTCGATGGAGAAAGAGATAGAGAAGCGGGTAGTGTATGCCTTTCCGAGAGTTGCACACATCTCACTGGGTATAGAAGGGGGGATTGGATATCCCCTTCCTGTCCCCCTTTCTCTTCCAAAAATCCATGGAATTGTGTCGAGTCGTGGGAAGGGCCGTCTAGATTGCCACAGCTCAATCCAGAGTCCACTTCTGTCGCTTGTCTGACTTGCAGATTATCTGGTACTGGTTTTAGAACGTCAATTGGATGCCACGGAGTCGAGTTGTCATTCAGTCTAATTCCCTAAGCCAAAAATCAGTCTGCCCTGACCTGAACCTGACCGCCAATTTAACTGTTCCAAAATTCAAAATGTCCGCTACAATCCATCTGACAGCTTTTCATTCATTTTTTCTTCCTACCTTCCCCTCCCCCACCCCCAGTTCATTATGCTCGCACGTGGTCTAAATGTCCTCCTCCCCCTCCTCCTCTTCCTCTTCCTCTCCTCCTCCTTGAGGCCATTCCCATAATTCGTCCTCCCCTCCAGCTCGATCTCCTTCCCGTCATTTGTCATGAGTTGTTCTCCATCCCAATCTTTGTTCTCTTCATTTCAAAGACCTCTCAGATGAGTTCTCACTCCAGCTTTTCGGATAATTAGAACCGTGGGACCGCCCTTTGAAAAACGTCTCATAATTTTCTGGAAAATCACGAGCCAGACGTTGCGTTTTGTGCTTTCGTTCTACTGGCTGTATATCGCCATGCAAATTACGTTAACTGCGCTTGGGGCGACTTTTTAGTCAATCGGGAATTCAGTGACCTTCAAGGTCACTGAATTGGATAAGCTTCCCAGCGGGTAACTGAATTTCGTTTTAGTCACCCTGGAGGTCACTGAATTAGTTCAATATCTTATAAACATAATCCCTAACCAGCTTGCTCGCCAGGATACCTAGCAGAAACTTTTCTTTGCTCTCCAGAAGTGTGCAGCGAAATTGAATCGCCGGGAGGGTTTCCTGCCCGTTTCACCCTTCAAAAGTAGAGGGTCCGTTCCCCAGTTCGCAACTTTTTTTTTACTCCTATTGCCAAAGTGTAGTCAAGGGGTTACTTTCACACGTTTCAAAATGTATTCTGTCAGGTTTTAAATCCGCGACCACCCAGCTAGCCCCCTGATTTATTTCAAAAAGCTTTATCTGGTCTCCATAGGGGTCAAAGACCTCGTGATCCACTCGAAGCAGCCAAGATTGCCCATTATTTGGGGGCCAAATTGGCACAAAAAGTGAGGTGCAGCAGGGCCATTCCTCGGGCTTGCGGCCAAAATTTACTGGCAAACAACAAGTGCCTTAAAACATAAGATCTTCTTTTCCATCGCTAATTTTTAGCAACCAGCAAACAGCTAGATTCCTTTTATCTTTGCTATTTCAGCGTCATTTTTATTTTTTGTGTGCGGAAGCGGCAAACTGTCACGCGCAAGCACCTAACATTGAAAAACCTATTCACTGGCATGCAGTTAGCCCTAAAATAGGATCCGCAAGTGCCCCCTCGACTTGAAGAGGACGAATTGAAAAGGATTTTCACCTCGATCTCTCCCCTCTAATACACGTGACGGCAATCGCATAAGTAATGAAACGGAAATCCGTTTTTCTCGTTTCTGTCTCTCTCTCTCTCTCTCAAAACCTCAGAACATCAGTCTTTTCCAGAATTTATCATTTTTTTTAATCCTGGAAAAGGGTTTGATCTGTGCTCTGGGGGTAGGGTCACCGATTCTGGATTCCGTTAGATGCCATTTGAAAACATTTATTTTTATTTCTAAATTTCTTCTTGACTTCCATCTAGAAGTTTAAAAAGATTCAGAAGTTTTCGAAAAAAGACGACCCAGACTGCCTTCCGATAATCGCGAACGCGAAGCTATCGAGTTAGGGTACTGATTTAAAAATCAGCTAGATATATTTTTGAAATGTATTTTTTATTAATCCCTACTATCTGTTTAGACTTTCTGTAAGCCATTAGTAGATCCAAATTGTGTTTTCCCGAAAAATATGATGGCCTGTCCACGTCCCGCCTCCTTCGAGGTTTCTTTGAGATGGCCACCCCCAACGTGCCCCGGGTCACTGAATCAAAATCCAAATAGGTGCCATTATTTCGTATTGTTTTTTATTTGAAGGTATTCGATAGGTTCCAGTTATCAGATCCAAACTGTTTTTTCCAAAAAAATATGACTCTCCAGACTACCGTGGGCTTCTTTCGAGTTTGCAGGCTGTGTCGAGGGAAATGACGTTTCCCTTCCTTCGTTCATTGCTTGCTTGTCGTGTCAACTGGCTAGAATTGAGTACAAAAAAAGGGAGGAGAAGCTGTTCTTTTGTCGGATTTTCGACCGTCAGAAGGGAGGGGGAGACAAAAAGGGGAGAAGCCATGAGGAGAGGGGAAATTGTTTGAGCAACAGATTACCCACTCCCCCCATTCCCTCACATCAACCCCCCATTTGCCAGCCATTTCTGAAGCTCCGCGAGGCAGAAAACATTTTAATTGGGTTGCGTAATCGATTCTTGATGACACTTTAGCGAAATGAAACTTTTCTTAATTTCTAGCTCCCGAAAATCTTTGAAGTATATCGCGCAACCTAATCTGTATGCGGGGATCACTGAAAATTCAGTTGTTTGGCCGTTTGTATGTCAGTTTTTCCGTATTTTGGTCTGTTCGTCTGTCTGCTGCTTACCCCCTGGAGATCTCACTTTTTTTGGCGCACCCACAAGTGGCCGACCTAAATTTCCTAGGTTTCTTCGGGATGTTGCTAGGCTTTTCCCATTTTCACACCACAGACATCTTCAGCCAGTCAACCCGGTCGACACCCTTGGGCCCTTAAATTTCCTCGAAACCACTGCTCACTGACCACTTGCCTGAAGCTCATACTATTTATTCGCATTTTTCATTTTCAGATTTTCTGTCTTTCGCTTCTAAATTGCAACGCAAGCTGATGCATAATTTTGCGTCTCGCCACTTTTTCACCCTTACTCCACTTAATTGCCATGTCAATCCCCACGTGGCCAATTGAGACTCTCACTCCGAGCTTTAACTTCTGCCGTTTCGCTCTCTCTCTCTCTCTCTCTCTCTCTCTCTCTCTCTCTCTCTCTCTCTGTCTCTCTGTCTGTCTCTCTCTCCCTCTCTCCGCTGCCATATATCTGCTATGTGTTTTTGTGAGCCTGAACCGTGCCAAATGGTGGATGTGATAGAATGGATGGCCCCTCACATCCCTCCTTCACCCTCCCTTTAATTGACTTTTGCTTTTTCGGATTGCCCTCTCTTTCTCTCTTCTCCACACCAAAAATGGGAATGGAATAGGGCGGATTGGCCCAGGGGGCTTTTGCCAAAACATCTTTACGATCGGAAATCAACTTTTGCCGAAAGTCACTGAAATTTTTAGGCTGAAAAATAAATTGAAATAGCTGATAATCTTTAATGAAAGGCAATTAGCAATAAATTATGATCCATTTTTCTACGTTGTCGGATAGTTGACTTACCCAACACGAAAAACGGAGCAAAAGGCGATTTTGACCAAAATTCAAATTCAGTGACCTTGCGGGTCACTGAATTGGTACCTTACTAGGCTTATGATTTTTAGAAGTTTTTCGATTTCGTGTACTAAAGGACCACTCAGTCAGAAAAATCCATAGCACCCCTATTTCGCCATTTATTCAGGACCCTAGTGACTTCTCAAGCCATTTCAACCAAAACATTTATGATTTCCTGGGGGACAATTGGAACAGTGATCAGCCCGCCATTCGATATTATTTGGGTTGAAGCGGATGGAGGGCACCTGATGGGACCTCTTTTCTTTGATCCCTCCCTCAAACACTACTAACCACCACCCAGTCAACCCCCCCCCACCCACCAATACACAAAATAATCACACGGTATTGCCTTTTGACCCCCGGGAAGTATGAAGTGGTGTTATTGTTTGGCATTTAACGCGTTTAACTTATAAACTGACTAATTTTTCATGTAATGGCTTTCTTTGAAAATCAGCTACCCTCGTGTTTTGCCTCAAAATTTCTTTTTTTTTTCTTTTCGTGTAGCAATTATCTTTTTTTCTGCATAACAAAGCTCAATTCCAGCCACTTACAATGAACGTGTCAATCGAGCCGGGTTCTGCCTCGGCCACCCTCCATTTCCCAACAGATGCCCTCGAAGATCTCCTGCTGGCCTCTGAAGAGCCATACTATCCACTCTCTACCCGTATTCTGATCACATTTCTCTTTGTGACTCTTGGTTTGATTGGAGTGGTCGGCAATTTGATGGTTATCATTGTTGTATATACCGTCAAAGGAATGGTGGGTCTTTTAGCGCCGGGCCACTGAATTCTTTGAGTGGTCTGGATTTTAGCAATTTTTCTAATTTGTTTTGAACCATACAATGAGCCAATTTCCAGGTGAGCACGACAAATTGCTACCTCGTCTCGCTGGCTATTGCCGATGCAATGTTTTTCATCGCTACGTTACCAAGCGAAATGATGTTGCTACATTTAGGTAATTAAAAAGTCATTTACTGCTGTCCAGAAAGAGCTAAAAATAGTTAAAATGATCACATGATCCATAAAGAATGAAAAATTAAATGACAATTTCAGAAGGGCAATGGCATCTGTTTGGGTCGATTGGATGCTCGATATTCGCTTTTCTGCCATATTTCGCTCTGACGGCATCCGTGCTATCCATCACAGCCTTCACTGTCGAGCGCTATCTGGGAATTTGCTATCCATATAAGCAATTGTGGGTTTTTTGGGTTTTTTTCTGTCCATAGACGGAACCTGGAAGCTTTCTGACAGATAGGGTCACTGAATCTGCAAAAAGATCAATGAATTTCATAGTATCAATTTTCCGCCAAAAAAAGGTAACTCTCTAACATTCCACTTTTTAGAACGTGGTGCTCAATATCGCGTGCAAAAACGATCATCCGCTGCATTTGGCTTTTCTCATTTATCTACAATGCACCGTGGCTCTATCTGGCCACAGTTGTAGAAATTGATCCCGGCCATCCAGAATGCACATTCAAGCTGGATCGCGATAATTGGCGCTATAAGGTGGGTGGAGAGGCTAGCCAAAAATCAGTTACTCACCCAGCAATTGGCAGGGTCACTGATTGGAAATTGCAGTCACCCTGCAGTTGGTGGAAAGATTAGAGTTCCCTAACAAAAATCTTTCAAAGGTTCGAAATTCTGGTAGGTAACTGACCCAAACATTCAGTTACCCTATCAGTTGACGATTTCAACGTCGTAATCGAGTAATTTTCAGGCAATCTACCTATTCGACTTCTTCACGTTCTACGCCATCCCAATGATACTCAACATTGTCATCTATGCAAAGATCGCCGTCCAAATCTCGAGATGTGGCACCATGAAAATGAAGATGAAGCATACCATCAAGGGCGGTAAGTTCAAAAACTCAAATCCATATATTTTTTAGGCGTAACATCCACTGGCAAGGCCGAGACCACGCACACAGATTTTCGCGTGTCAACCGGAAGTGGGCGGAACCCACAGAAGAATCGACACGGAGTGGTGAAAATGTTGGCAGTTGTCGTGATAACATTTGCTGCCTGTTGGCTGCCATACAAGGCCATGGTTATGCATAACTCATTCTCGGATGTCGACAACAAATGGGATTCAGAAACGTGGGTTTTCGATGAAATTCGGTCGGTTGACGGTTAACTCATTTGAAAATCGGGAAATTTTTTGTTTATTCAAGATTAAAAGTTGATATTTACAAAGGCCGCCGGTCAGCTGGAAAGCCTAGGGTAACTGAATCGAAGCTCGTGAGATTAGAGTTATCGAGGTACCGTAAGTTATTTTCAAACCAGCGCCCAAAACCCGCTTCGCGGGCCTTGGGCGCTGGAATGCGGCCGTTGCATAAGAAATTTGACTTTCCGTAAGCTCGGGTCCTTCCGGACCCCCTCCCCCGGCCGACCACACGCGCGCGTGCAACTTGCAAGAATGAAGAAATTTCTATTTTTCACATTATGCAAATTACCCCCAAAAATGAGTAAAACCTGCTTTAACTTTGTAAACTTGTATTTTATCGAAATTCTGAAAGCGCCATTGGAAACAGAAGGGTCGCTTTCCCCAAGTGACGGAGAATTAGAGCATTTTATGCACGGGAATGCCCTCAAATCGGGCCTTGAAAGTGACATCCACACACACACACACACACAGTTACACGCCAAAATTAAATAGGGTAGGAAAGCGCGCCGGTCAATTAAAAGGCTTAGGGTCACTGCTTTTAAACTCGGGCATTTTTGATGCCGGGGTATTTTTGGAAAGCCCAGTTAGAAAGCCCACAAGACCACTGATTTTGTAAATCGTGAAATTATCACTGTCCAGATGTAAAAAGTTGTTTTTTTCGAAAGCCTGCCGGTTAAAAGCATCCAGGGCTTCTTGAACGGCCAGTCAATTTCAGTTACATCTTCTTCGCAAAAACAATGATCTTCATCAACTGTGCGATCAATCCGATTCTGTACAATTTGATGTCGAACAAATTCCGATCGGCTTTTGCCCAACTGCTGAAAGGGAAGAAAGGAAAAGGATCGAATTCGCCCAGTAAGTCCAGATCCCTTGAATTCCCCCGAATTATTCCCTTGCCTTTAATCCAGGTTTTAGAAGTCGACTTTCCCAGGTATTCCAGACAGTAAAAGCCACAAAAGTGTTTATTTGTTGTTTTGTTGATTGGTATAGATTGAGGCTAGAATTAACTGTCATTTAGTAGTTCGTAGTCCTGTTTGAAAAGCAGGCCATCAGAAAGTTTGGTGTTTTTCAATGGGATGCCAGATTGTCGTAGGGTAACCAAGTCGAAAAATTGTTTCAGAGTTCATTTAGCCCATTCCGTGTGTAGATATTGTAGTTTGTTGACCAGTTCGAAAAATGGCTATCAGAAAGTTTAATTGTTGTCGTCGAATGCCAGAATTCGAATGGGTAACTGATTCAAGGAATCTTATATGCAGGGTGATACGGTAACAGAACAAAAAATTATTTCCCGACTCTAATTAGCAGTTCTAGTGTGTAGTTTTTGTAGTTTGTGCTCCAGTTAGTCCGAAAAACAATAAATAATTTGCAGAGAAGGGCGTCTCTCTATTGAATGTGCGTCCCCAGGAGCGTCGTCGTAGTGATGATGATAGATGGACATTGAGACATGATGAAGATGATGACGATGATGATCACACTACAGAATCCCCCAAAAGTTCTATTAAAGCCACTGAAAAGTGTCAGTTGGTCCAGAAGAGTACTACTCCCCTTGTTGTCGCTTCCCCTTCGGTCCGTTTCGAACCGCTTACACCATCAAATTCTGATGGGATTATTGTAGAGCTGTAGCTCCGCATTTTTATAATTGTCATTTCCTACCTCTACAGGGTGTCCCAAAAAAACCCCCCCTAGCCGGCCGCAGACGTGTCCGATTTTTACGATTTAGATATCTATCGAAAGCTCTCGGAAAGGCGAGTCCAGCACGTCTTGCGGATTTGCGAAATTTCGGAATTTTTTGCTCGATTTTCGACATTTTTCAGGCCAAAAGGACAGACTTTTTTGTTCAAAACGCAATTTAACCGGTTTAAGCGCTGTCCAAGCTGTGTTTTGGCAAACGGCTTTCAAAAAGCTGCCGTTGGGTTGCCAGGAAAGGCGTAAAAATTCTTAAATTGCGATTTTTGTAAAAACCCTCTGGTCAGAACAACATCAGAAAATCCCCCATTTTGCAAAAACATTAGTAACTGATGGAAAAATTTCCAAATTATGAAAATCGAAGAGACGTGCTGGATTCGCCTTTCCGAGAGCTTTCGATAGATACCTAAATCGTAAAAATCCGACAGGTCTGCGGCCGGCTAGGGGGGGATTTTTTGGGACACCCTGTACTGTCTAACATAAAACCGAAAAAGCAAAAGATTTGTGGGGGAAATAATTTTGAATAGTTGGAAAATTCAGTGACCTCACTACAAAATCCCGGTTTTCCTGTTTTCACAACTGTATTCTATAAAAACCTTGTAGTTTGTATGGCAGTTTGTATAATTCCGTTTTCTGCATCATTCTGCTAAATTCTAACCCATTTCCCTTGATATTTTATGGGTATCGAGTGCAATTTTGTGTGTCAGCTGTTCTCCGGTCGTCATTTATCGCCCATCAAAGGTCATTTTCGCCTCCTCTCGCTCGCTCTCCGGTGTTCCTGAATGTTATACAACGGGTAGAATATCGTAGTCGCCAGCAGTGCTAGCCAGTTGATCGAAACATGAAAATCTCCATGACACAGGCCACTACGGCACTACGGTACTTTGAAAAATGGATTCTCTATCTCATCCCCCGAGTATCGTGTATTTATATTTCTCATCCTTCCCCCGCGGGCCAACGACTTTTGAGTGTGTATTTTCTGTGAATAAATGTTTATTTGTGTCAACTGGGTGACAAGGAATACATACGTATCACTGATTTCAAGGTAACTGAATTGGGGTAGCTAAATTTCAAAAGTTTCTAGATGATTGAAACACCATTTTATACAACAGAATGCAGCCCAGGAAGCCACAATTTGATAACGTAATCGGTTGCTGAGCCTTCTGGGAGCTGGTGCATTGCTTGAGGGCAAAAGACGCTTTAGCAAAGACGCTTTAGGCCAAAGGCCAAGCTAGCAAAGACCCTTTGGCGCCCATTTCACCGTTTCAACCTTCAATCAGCCTTTAAACCCGGTTTTACAGGTGTCACCGTCCTTTTAAAGCGTTTTCAAGGGCCCTTGAAGGCTGGGCAAACCAGCAGAGATCCTTTCCGAATACGTGAAAATACTAATTACGGTATATTAAAACATAAAAGGGGGCGTTTTAAAAGGCCGTTTGCGAGCCACCCGAACTAGGCTTGGCACAGTCTGTTTTTCGACCCCACTTTTTTGACGCCATCGGATAGCGCATGGTCGAATTAGTGGGGCTGCATAGTTTTGAAAGTTTAAAAAGTTTAATTTGGGGGTTTAAATGGGCGTTGAAGTTCCAGACCCCCAAAAATTATCTTGGAAGTTACTTAACCAAATTCGCTGAAAATTTGTGCCAATACCTAATTTTGGACGGGGATCATTTCTCTAATACATCGCAAAGCGTGAAAATGGCCGGAACATAGGAATCTCGTGTACACAAAACAGTTTTTGGAGATTTTCGTTGTGAAGGGTTGTTGGCTGCGCGCTGTAAATAGCATATAAAGATGCGCAAAAACTTTCTGCATCGAATGGTGTATCATTTAGCGCGCAGACAGTAACCCTTCATATTCAAAAAACGCGATTCTTAAACGGGAGAAAAGCTGGTACATACTCCCGAGGTTTGCATATTTTGAAAAATCGGAAACGGGTATAGGGTCTAAAGATAAAACTGTATGCATTGCAAAAAAGAGCAAAAAGAAATTCACTTCCCACTCGGAACTGACGATTTGCGGGGATATGAAGGGTTACTGTCTGCGTCTGCGTCTGCGCGCTAAATGATACACCATTCGATGCAGAAAGTTTTTGCGCATCTTTATATGCTATTTACAGCGCGCAGCCAACAACCCTTCACAACGAAAATCTCCAAAAACTGTTTTGTGTACACGAGATTCCTATGTTCCGGCCATTTTCACGCTTTGCGATGTATTAGAGAAATGATCCCCGTCCAAAATTAGGTATTGGCACAAATTTTCAGCGAATTTGGTTAAGTAACTTCCAAGATAATTTTTGGGGGTCTGGAACTTCAACGCCCATTTAAACCCCCAAATTAAACTTTTTAAACTTTCAAAACTATGCAGCTCCACTAATTCGACCATGCTCTATCCGATGGCGTCAAAAAAACGGGGACGAAAAAACTGTGCCAAGCCATATTGGGGTCTGTTCGGGTGACCCGCGGACGGCCTTTTAAAGCCGTCCACTAGGCTGCAAAAGGTCCTTATAAGCCACGATGGATATTTTGTTGAAGTTTGTGGTGGAGAGGCGAAAGCTGAAGAAGAAGAAAAGGCGGGAGACATCTGTCTGAAAGGTACACACCAACGGGGGCCGAATCTAACCCAATTCAACACCAATAGAATCATCCCCCTCACCCTCCCAATTCAACAAATTATCTTTTCCGGTAAGAGTTTACTTTAATCCCCCCCACAGCCGAAGGGTCTGAAAGTTTTCGGTATTTTCGCTTATTTTGTCGGGTTTTTTGCAACACCATTCGATAGAGCGTCGAAAAATATACTAAAAGTTTTAATTTGAGCCTACAATAATGTAAAATAAAAAAAGTTACAGCCAAAAACTTCCGGCTGGGGGGGTAAAGTAAAGTGTTGCCTCTTTTCCGGCTGCTTTCACAAAGGAACCCCTTAACGTTGTGATGGCGTTTCGTTATGGGACCCAGCCTATTTTGTGCTTCATTCCTTTTGCTGATTCTGAATCCCAAACCAATTTTTGTCAAGTAGCTCGTTGGCAGGATTGGTCACGAAAAGAGCGGGAGCTGGGAGTGGGAGCTGATTTGCGAGCCCCGCTCAAGAGCGGGAGCGGGAGCTGAAAATTTTCAGCTCCCGCTCGGCTCCTGCTCCCGCTCAGCTCCGGCTCAGAGCCGGCTCGCAGAATGACCAACCCTGCTCGTTGCACAAAGTTATGACATTTCAGCTTTCCATTTTTTCGAAATTTGCCACTTCAAAGCCATTTATCTTGCCTTGTCCGGCGGATTTCCGAGAAACAAATATAGCCATCGTATTCATAACACTTTCTTCATCTACTCAATTATTTAACTAAAAAACGTTGAAAATCGAAAAAATCGATCCCGATTTTCAGTCCATTTCCTACCCCTGTAAGAGATTGTTAAAGCGCACGTTCAGAGAGGGGCCGTGTACTCGTCCCAACGTGTACACCCTATGGACGTAGGGACCGCGTGCACTGCCTGCCCGTGCTGTGACAGGCCATTCTTTGTTGCGTGGGACGCCCCTCGCCCCCTTGCCAGGTTGTAGCTGCCGCTGACTGGTATCCATCCGCGCCTCCCGAGCGGGGGGCCCGGGTTCGACCCCCGGCCGCGGCAAAAATCTTTGCTTTTTTCCAAAAAAACGTCCCAGAACGTGCCCTTTAATAGGCAGGAGCGCACTATTTAAACATACCATTTGACCCAGTCAAAGATTCTCTACCAGAAAGACTATTAAAAACAAGCTAGAACTCTGAAAAAAACAACAAAAAAGTTGGTCCCGCCAGGGAAGATATAATCTTAAAATGGCGATAAATTTCTAGATCTGGTTATTTCGCATAAATTGAAAGCAGCTTCGGGAATTAGCAAAAAAATTCTACGAAAAATAGGCTGTGGCCGATGCCGAAACGACACCGTATCTTTCAGAAAAATCGACAAGCAATGACGGCACCTATTATTTGTTATGATTGGATGAGACGGTGAGTTGTTGTCTTGCTGTTGTCTTGCTCAACTTCTTACACTCACCATTCGGCTACTTTTCAACAGAAACCTTTTAGACCGCGACCCCAATACCGAGGAGTATGGCTTTATCAAAGGCAATTCCCCTATCGCAAATTACATCCAGCACAACAACGGATCGTCAATCAACACGTACAAATCCGCGAGAAAAACCAGATGCGGGCAACTTGCAAAGTTTGTCTTGTCTCTCTCCCCCTCCCTCTCTCTCTCTCTCTCTCTCTCTCTCTCTCTCTCTCTCTCTCTCTCTCTCTCTCCTCTTTTTCTCTGTTTCTCGGGCTCTTTTCCTTCATCGCTCGCGTTTCAGCACTTCTCCTCCCAAACAGCCCTCCCCTTCTACCTCAGCGGATTCTATGACAAAATTATTTTTGAAGTCATAGCGATCACCCGATCGCAGGTAAGTAAAACGATTCCCGAACACCTGATCGAAAAGTCACCTGCGAGAGCGAGGGAGAGAGAGAGAGAGGGAGACAATAAGCGCGAGTGACGGCTTCATTCCAGCAATCTCCGGCGCTGCAACAAGTCGGAATAAAAGCCTACATAGCTAATTCCCTGGACACGTGGTACACGGATGATTTCCACATTAACGTATACCTGTCAATCGAGGGCCAGCCCCTTCCATATTTTGACTGTGAAATCAGGTGAATTAACGTAATCTATTCAATTACATAGACTGTTTAGCAGAACCAATTGGAATTTGCGATTAATGCCAGATAGGTAAGAGAGTGAGAGAGAGAGAGAGAGAGAGAGAGAGAGAGAGAGAGAGAGGGAGAGGGCAAATCGATATTTCAGGAAAGTACCGTATGATGTGGCCCATCTTCGAATTCTTGATGAATTGACGGTCAACATGAAGTGCCGCCGGATCGAAACATGGTTTCTAGAGGCTGAACAAGCACAGCACCTGCTGGTGTGTCTCTCTCTCTCTCT